CAACTAAGATAAGAACACTAACCACTCAAGGACCAAAATCCAAAACAACTTTTAATTTTGTTAGCAAAATGGATTCAGGTTGGAAGTAATTACTTTCCGCTGCCGATGAATTCGTCGAAAGTGAGGATATGGCTGTTCCACACCACAAGATTCAACTCCCTAAGCCCTTCAACAATGTGAACACAAACTTCACTTGAAATGGGGGGTTTTACCGCACACCAAATCAAATCAAATAAAAACTAAGATGCCCATCCACACAGTTTGCCCAATTAGCTCAACACCAGAAACTTCACCCATCAAACCCTTGTAAAAAAACTCCATATCCAAATCTGAACAGGGAAAGAGGTAATTGCGCAAACATTTGGCGTGCAATTTAGAATACCAGTGCAAGTTCTGGTGCGAAACTTGGTGCTGCCATTTTCCAGCCGCCAATGGGGCTCTAGGGGCAGAGGCAGCGTCGACGCGCAGCAGAATGTGGCGGATCGGGAGCAAATGCTAGAGAGAGAGAATTTTGAAAAGAAGAAGAGAGAGAGCGTCTTCCTCGTTCTTGACGATAGGGGACCCAACAATTTGAAATATCAGAGAGAATTTGCAGATCTGTCTCGATGGGACCCACTTGCTGATACAATTCAAAAAAAAAAAAAATAGAGTAGAAAGGGCAACTAGACGATCAGCCCAACTAATGTCGTCGCGAAATCCGATCGTTGTCTTGTGTTGAAATCCCGCGAAGGATTTCTTCAGAGACAACAATCAAAAAACTGCACAGCATCGTCCAAACAACTCAGCCGCACCAAAACCACCTCAGCGACATTCCAACGATTCAACCTTATACGCCAAGTCAACAACATCAAAGTAAGCAGCGTCGAATAGGGGCTGGTGTTTGAGGAGTTGAATTGTATTGCTACCTTTGTTGCGGTTTACTTTGATGTTGCTGAGTTGGTTTTTGAGGGGTTGAATTGTTTGAATGATGCTGAGGTGGTCTTGGCGCAGCCGAGTTGTTTGCATGATGATGTGCAGGTTGTTTGATTGTGGTCTGTGAAGAAACTTTCCACGGGATTACAACACAAGACAACATTTGGATTTCATGGTGACCTTAGAAGCTCTTCGCCGCAGCTTTCTCTTCGACCCAACTGATGCAGAGCTCATCGACTTCTATCTCAAGAGGAAAGTGATGGGAAGAGCACCCAAAGCCAAAGAAGGATGATTGTTTCTGTTGTTGTGATTGGGTGGATTATGATTGTTTCCACTTGCGTTTAATTGAAAGTTAAAATGAATGGGTCGACGACGCATCCTGGGACGTCGCAATTCCACGACCAATGAAGGATGTCCGCGCTCTCGAGGGTCCGGGGCGTGACAGTTTATATATATACCATAACTAGTAATGTATATAAGTAAAGTGTAATCCTATCATTGATTAGGTCATTTATTTTATTAGTATATGAAATGTATATAAGAAACTCAAATCATATCATTAATTTGTTATGTTATATTGTTTTTATATATAGTATATGTAAGTAAACTAAAATCCTATCATTTGTTAGGTAATTTATTTTATTCGTATTTATAGTATATATACAAATAAGTAAATTGGAATCGTATAATTAAGGGTCATTTGTGCTAAGACTAAATTGGCAAAACTGAAAAATTTAGGGCTGAATTTTCATTTGTACAATTGATTTAGGACTAATTGGATAATTTTCCCGAATTAATTGATGAAAGTATTCCGTAATGTGTACACATGTACCTTATAAACAAAAAATAAACGTACCAAATTGATGATTGAATTTTTATTTACCTTTAATGTACTATACACATAATTAATACAAATCACCCAACAATATAAGATTTCGACTTACTTATATACGTACCATACGTTCAAATGAAATAATACAAGTGATTAATGATAGGATTTGAGATTACTTATGTACATGACATGAAAAAATAAAACCAATGTTCTAATTAATGTTTGGATTGCACTTTACTTTTATACATTATAAGGTCTGGCATAACATATGTCCATTTACAATTCCCATGCATTAGCGAATTCCGGTTTCTTGATAACTTCTCTACCTCTCCATGCAAATTGATTTTGTGATTGCTTGCTCTTTCTAGCCTCAAATTTTCATTTCCTATCCATATGTTTCACCAGGAAAATTACCTAATCAGTCCTAAATCTAATGTACGTATGTCAATTCAATCTTAAGCTTTTCAATTTTGCCAATTTAATCCTAAATCATTATGCAAAAATCTAATGTAGTCGTTCCAATCAAATTCATAAGAAATCGCTAACGTGACAGTTCAAATATTACCGGCCATATCAGCGATTTTCGATGAAAATTGATCAAAAGGATTACAATGATATTTCGCAAAAAGGTTTAAGATTAAATTGCTAAAATTGAAAAGTTTAAAACTGTATTGACATTCATACAATAGGTTTAGGACTGATTTGACAATTTTCCCTATTTCAACATATTATTTGGAATTACAACCTCAAGAATTTCTTCGATTGATAAGCGTGTTAATCTTCTTTACCCAAGGCTTCTAGCCGAGACGATGTAATTCTAAACTTAGGAGTATGAACCTATGTGCATAGGGAAGGATTTAGTATTGAATAAAAATCAAATTTTTGCTCCAACCCAAACAAGAACATGAGATTGATACCCGATCTTCGTTGTCTCCATTCAGTATCATCATTGAATACCCCATGCATAGACTCGTGATCAGTAGAAATCCTCAATTCGAGAACCGGCATGAGAAGATTGCACCATTTCAAAGGCTCGGATGACGATTTTGTTACTTGATCTCAAGCACCGGATTACTAGGCATCGAATACTGATTTTCAGGTAGCGTAGATGCTGACATGGGCTTGTGGACTGAGGAACATCGGACGTCTTATAGATTTTGTTGACGTCGTCTTCTCATTTTTTTCGATACTACAGAACTCCACTATGCGTTTTGGGAACTAAGCCATCCTTTTGTTAGGCTATGCACCTATGAATGATTCAAGTGATCCATATACTTATTTCGTACTTGTTTGTAATAGCGTTCTTGACAAAAAACAATATTTTAGAATCGATTGAGGTGGGTGCAATTGAGTTTGTAGTATGTCATGATCCATATTCTTTATCATGATTGAAGTCTCTGGTTGCAACATCTTTTTATCGCTTTTGGAATCTCTGAATTGCCATTGGTTTGCGTATAATTAGGTATCCTCGTAACTGTTGCTTGGTCTTCAGGTTCTTCGCTCGTAATATCGAATTAATGCATCTGCTGGTTTTTATGCAATCAGCTAGATGAAGACGTAAATTATTACTTAATATTCGAACACTCCTCATGCGTAGTTTAGTCTAGTCAATTTGCCTAATAATAAGCGTGTACATAAATAATTAGAAAGGCAAATGGGAACTCAGGACCTCTAGGTCTGATACAATGTGAGATTTTGTGGGATCACCCCCAACTGTCCTAAATCTGTTCTAAAAGCTGTTAGTTGAATGTTTATTATTTAATATTCTAACACAGCATAACTGTTTCCTCCCAATTTCGGATTGTGTTTGTTGCTGTGTTAGCTCGGTCTCTGAGAAGGCAATTGCAAGGGCTGAAAAGTTTTAAGGCTTTGTTTTCCTCAATGATAATTTCGGCTCTACAAAACCCGTGGAAGAGAGCTTTAGTCATTTGAAGCAATAAGAGTGACTCTGAAGATTAAGAAGTTTCTTCGCTAGTACCCTTTTATTTGTGTTGCAAAGGGTAGCCGATGACAATAAACATGGTGTTTGTGTAACAGGATATCAATATAATCATGTCCCAAGCACTATAAAGATTATGTCTAGATTATTGTTGACAGACATGTTTCGAGAGATTGACAGGGATTAATTCACTTCCTTCATCATTAGGAGAAATATGTTATCGATAAAATTGTTGAAATAATGAAATCAACCTCTTGTTACTTCTCGTCATTTAGATAGGATCCGAGGTTTTCATTATCGATTACGAGTTTTTATAGTAGTCTTGTCTACTCTAGACACAGTGTACAGGCTTATCAAGTCACTCTCTTTTTGACTTGCTAATCTGAACAGGTAATTCTGGTGAATGTTCTTCTACTCAGCTAATTGATGGAGATGGCACATTTAATGTCGACGGACTTGAAAATTTCATCAAGGAGGTCAAATTGAGGGAATGTGGCCATTCATACGCCGCAGTCTCCACCATGGGTCCTCATATTAGTGGTGTGTATTTACTCCCAATAACTTAGCTTTGGATTTTACTTCTCTTGCTAGAAATGGATTAGATCAAAACTTTTTGTAAGGTTCTTGTAAGGGCTGTGAAATGATTTCAAGTTGCTCAAATTCAGTTTAATTCTTTTATTTTGTTTCGTGTTCATGAATCTTTTCTTTTGCCTTCATAAGAGATTTAAACTTATTCTATTGTTGTGTATAATATCAAACATGGAAGAGTACGCTGTTAAATCATCTATTTGGCACCAACTTTAGCGAGATGGATCATTTTAAAGGGAGGCATGTCTACAAACCAACTGTTTAGCTCACTCTTATGAAGTATTTGGATACGGAAAGTGCAAAACCAGTTTGGTATTTTTCCAGGTCCCAAACCACCAAAGGTATATGGATGGCAACAGCTGCCGGCATGGAACCGTGTACCCCGGTTATGGACTTGGAGGGAACTGGAGAAGGAGAGGTATATTTACTAGATGATTTTACATTGATATATAATAGCTTATTTTGTCTATGTTTAACTACTTATTTTTATCCATAAGTAATTGCAAATTCTATTTTTTGTACATGTTGAAAGATAATTTGGGCATCGGGTAGCTGCTGAATTATCTTTAACTTGCTTTTCCACTTATGTATGTCTTTGCTCATCTTACCAACCCAGAAGATTGATTTATTGTGTGGCTGATGCTCATTGAAACTCACCTGATTCACACTTGGTTTGAGTAAGCAGCAATTAGCATCCTCACAGCTTCTTAACCAGTGTCGTTTTTATTCAGGACAATACTGCTTTTGAAAAGCAGAGTGCTCTTTTCGCTTTGGCTGTCTCCGATATAGTGCTCATAAACATGTGAGGCTTTTGCTTTGCTCTAATGAGATACCGTTTCTGTTGCTGCAATTTTATCTACGAGGTTGTTGTTTTAGTATTTTCCTAGTGCCCTTTTTACTCATCTTTTTCATAGGTGGTGTCAAGATATTGGCCGTGAAAAAGCTGCCAGCAAGCCTCTTCTGAAATCTGTATTCCAGGTATTTCTTGTCCTCTTGCGTTAAGATAAGCTAAATGTTTAGTTCTAAGGGTTAATGATAAACTTGTGACTTTTCTTGAAGGTCATGATGCGATTGTTTAACTAAGAATTGCACTTAGTTAAAAAGAGGACATTTTATAATTTGATGTTGCATTATATAAATGCAAAAGAGAGGTTGGCCATTGTTCTGTAAATTTTTCAGACATCAGTTTATAGGGTTGTTAGACTCGCCATATTTTAGCTCCATGTGGGGAGGCAGACAACTCTCGACGGTTGTTTGAGATTCTTCAAACCCAGGACCATGGTTGGCACTTTAATGCTGCTAAGAAAATGGGGCTGGAAATTTACAGACTTGCAGAGAGACTGCCACAGGCTTGAACACCAGATTTGGGGATTGAAGCGTGCACTTGCTTCCCTGTCATCCAGTGCAATTATGGTAGCCAATCAGGCTGAAACTCTTGACAGATCTGTACAAACACACTGGTGCTTTTGTTTTGCCTAATTGAGTTCATGAATAGGGTGATGCAACACCATTAGCGCATCAGTAAAGTAATATGAGAATAATTGGGCATAAGCAGGTGGGGCAAGGCAAAATACTACCATAGACTCGCAAAACCATTACCAAAAGTTTAAAATGATCACAAAGATCTAAAAAATTGTCCATCGCTAGGGCGATCAATGGCTTACGAATTGAGTAAAAAGGAGTACTATTCATCCATAAAAAGTAGCATTTGAAGATATCTCTACGCTAGAGCAATGTGTGATGTTACTCCTTTGCACACATTTAAAAAAGAAAATATTCCAGATGCTCAGTTCTCAAAGATATCAAGGTGACATACCTTCCTCTTAGCAGGTACAGATAGATGCTTAGCTGGCTTAGGGAAGGAATCTAATCTGTAGAAAATAAATTAACGGAATTATAGGATGTCAAACATTGCATTTTTAAAGTCACTTTTAATTATTCAAGCTTTAGTTACCGGCTGACCATCGCCAGCTACATGCCGGTCTAGGCGAGGGCCACCGCGCCCTTGCCTAAACCAAGCAAGGGCATTACAGCCCTCGCCAGCTACGAGCAAGGGCTTCGCTGCCCTCGCCTGGATCTGGGTGAGGGTTCGATGCCCTTGTCTATGGCCAGCGAGGGTGCAGCGGCCCTTGCCCGTGGTCGACGAGGGCGCGGTGGCCTTCACCCAGACCAGCATGTGGCAGGGGTGGTCAGCCAGTGACCTTGCCAGCCAACCCAGTTATGGGAAAAGAAAAAAAAAGAGAAAAACATTGCAAAAATCTGAAAAAATTATAAAATTTGTCCACGTCAGCGCCGGCAGTGCTACGTAGGATTGCTGGTGTTCACGTCAGTGATTTCCGGCCTAAATTGGCCGGATGGACTGAATTGGTATCAATGTGAAAACGTTTAGGACTAAATTGGTTCAATTGAAAAGTTTATGACTAAATTGATACAAATGTAATATGTTTAGGACTTTTTTGGTACTTTTCCCCTCATTTTGGGTCATCCACTCTCATTTGAATTTTGTTTGGTCACTAACTCTCATTTGAATTTATTTCCAATATTTATATTACTTTTAACTTACCAACTTTTCTATTGAGGTGCCACTGTCATTTGTCTTACTTAACGACTTTTTTTGGAAATTACCAACCTCAATTAGAATGATTACCAACTTTTCTATAATTATGTTACAAACTCTTGTTTAGTTACCATTTTATATAAGAATTCTTTCTGAATTACGAACTTCTCTTATCTCTGACAAGTATTGTTTACACCTTTTATTTACCTAACTTACCAATGGCTTATGGTTTGTCAACTATTATATGAATATTAGAAAAATGTATCATTTACTAAGTCGTAAATCTAACAAATTCATGCCACAAATATTTTCTTATCTAACAAATTACTAAAATAATTTGCAAAAGATTTAGTGCAGTTTTAGTAGTTTCCTTTATTTTTTGAACAAATAACCGAAATTAATACTTTGTAGCTAGTGAAGTACTATAGTATAGACTCAAAAATAAAAATGATTTCCTAAAGTTTGGACTATACTTTTAGTTCAAGGGAAAAAGCCACAAAAAATCTCAAATTTTGCCCACTATGACACATTTACTCTAAATTTTTTCTGTGACACAAAAAACCTTAAACTTATGCATATGTGACATATTTACCCCAAACTTTTTTTTTGTGACACCAAAAATCCCAATTTGTTTTGGGACACCAAATTATTAGGGCAAATGTGTTTCATGGATACAAGTTTGGGGTTTTTTATGTCACAAGAAAAAAATTTGGGTAAATGTGTCACATTTTATAAGTTTGGGATAAATGTGTCATATAGGTACAAGTATGGGGTTTTTGGTATTACAAAAAAAATTGAGATAAATATATTACGGTGGGCATATTTTAGGGTTTTTTGTGGCTTTACCCTTAGTTGAACCTCCTAATTGGCCAGTTGCATGTATTAGAGCGCGCAGTTGTAGTACCGAAGTGTTGTGTCTGCTTGTGTCCGAATTGGGCCACCTTCCTTATGCATCAGGTATCAAATTGATCTCTCGAGATCATATTGGTCAAAATTGATTTTGTAGTTAGGCAATCACTCTCGGAGACTGGTATTTTTCCCTTGCACATAGTGGGAGAAATAATCTGACAAAGAAGCCTTAAAAGAAAACATGAAATGCCGTAAAATTTCAATTGGTTATCAAATGTAGCCATCCATATCCTCCTATATGCTCAGTACAGTGAGTTTTTCATCAAGTAAAAAAAAAAAAAGAACAAGGAAATTCTGAATCTGAAGAACATACCCTAAGCTAGACTAAGTATTTCCATTCCGGGTATAAGGGAAGAAGGACACTAGAAGTGCAAAAAATTGTGTACGGCGCTCACTTTAGTACCAAAAGTTTGTTTCGGATCACTTAAGTTTCACTTTAAAAAAAAACGTTCACTTAAGTGCCAAATCCAATATAGATTGCCGAAAATCTGACGTGGCAATATTTTATTAATTTCTTGGTCCTACATGGCTTGCCGACGTGCCCAGTTATCATATAACTCATAAACGACGTCGTCTAAAAGTTGTAAATAATAATCGTTTGAGTGTCAAATTTTGTTTAAAGTGATCATTTCAGTTCTAGTTATTGTTAAAAAATGATCACTTCAGTGCTAGTTGGATTATGCGACGTCGTTTTGGATATCCACGTGGACTAAATTTTTTTAAAAAATATGTCAAGTCATATTAAAAAAATTTAATTATAAATGACACGTAATCAATTTGGCTGGAATTGACACTTAAGTGATCGTTTTTTCTTCGATTTGGCACTTAAGTGATAATTTTTTCTCCGATTTGGCACTTAAGTGATTCAAAAAAAACTTTTGACACTAAAGTGTGCGCCGTACACAAGTTTTGGCACTTCTAGTGTTCTTCTCCCGGGTATAAGAGCAGGTAAGGCCCATGTGAAAAAGGAAGATCACCAATTCAAGGGTCAAATTCATCGACCTCGGGCGGCTCAGCTGCAATTACGACAAATAACATTTCAAGGGGGAAAAAAAGAGAAGGAGAACATGGGCAGCTCGTCGAATCAAGACAGGTCAAGAAAAGTCCAAGATCAGTAAGTGCACCAAGCTAAACTGATAGAGAGTGCAACTGGGAAGACAAGCAGTCTGAGCACACGAAGATTGTCAATTGTATTCCAAAATCGCATGTTCATGAGAGCTGATCCTTTGTTTAGAGCTTCAGCATCTCAAACAGAGCACAATCTCGAAAGCACATCACTAGACTCTAGCGACCTTGTTCTTCATCTTGAAATTTTGAGCAACCACCTCTCATGTTTTACAAGTCAGAAATTTTCTCAATAAGGTCGACAGAGTGCCCTCGATAGCTGATTCTTTTATGAATCCGTTATTGCTATCCAGACTTTATTTCGTGCTATTCTTTGAAACCGTCTTTTTTTGCTATGAAACAATACTTGACATACTAAACCTATGCAAAGTCAGTTTACAATTACAGAGTGATTTTGTAGATTTTTCATGGTTTTTGAATATAAGCATACTCATCTCGAATGCCCACTTACACATTACTATATCATTTAGGAAATCAATTCCACAAACCATTTGCTATCACTATCGCCACTCTTTGCCTATATAGACACATATCAATATTCAATTCTGACTCCAGATATGCTTTTGAGTTGCATCAAAATCATGTTTATTTCTTGTGTGCATCTCTAAATTTATTAATTATAGAAAAAACGCACATTTTAGTTTGGCATGTAGTGACCTAAAAAAAAGGCTTCTGCATATGGAACCTACTAGGGCATATGGCATATGCTTTGTAGCCGTTTGATGGAATACAGATCATTTGCACTTATAAAAAGGCGTTTGGTTACATTTACATAATCATTTTTCTGTTCTTAAAAGCCAAAAAAAAAAAAATTCACATGAAAATACAAGAAAAAATTTCAAAAATAAAAACCGACGTAATTTATTATCCCGAAAGCAAAATAATTTTATTTTATATAATCAGAAATTTGATTCAGTTATCTCTAATTTTAAATTAATAGAGGAAAACGAGTGCACATACATCTCTTCTATTTGAGAACTAATGTATCTTCTTCTTTGCCAGAAATCAATGAGAGCTTTTAGTGTGAGAGATGAGATTAGAAATTCAACAGAAACTGCATATCATATTACCATCGATAGCGACCCCTCTCATATAAGTTATAAGAGCTATTATCATCTTTTGAATTTTTATTCGTCTCTCAACAATTAAAACTTCTTACGTCTGAATTGCGAGGGTAGTTCTTTTAATGTTGTAAAGAAATAAATGTGCTAATTTGTAAATTCTAACTAATTGATATTTATTCTGACTATATAGTTTATCAATGAAAGATATCATGTTGTAAAATAAATAAAAAGCGTGATTGACATTTAGATATGACAAACATTGTTTAATGAAAATGATAACGAATAAACATTTATTATTTGGCCTAACCAAATATAATTTTCGATCAAGAAATGTTTAAATAAACTAACATTATTTAAAATGATTTTACTATTTGTAAATTAACGTAAATAAATGTGAAATTAATGGGTAATTACAGTACTCGG